GCGCCCGCGAAGACGGCCACGAACGTGTCCCTGAGCATGTCGGGCTCCGGCGGGAAGCCGTGGCCACATAGGGGGCGCGGGCGAAGATGGTATTCACAATTGCGGTATTCACAACTGCATATGGTTGGGTCTTTCGCCAGGATAATTTTGTGTGTTTAAGGTGTCCGCAAATTTCGACCAGGGCATGTTTTCGGGCCTCCTGTGGGGGAGGGGGAAAACATGTATAGTATGATTCGGTGGTATGCCAAACCAAAAAGAAACAAACAAACTGTGTATAGTAAGGTTTGGTGGCAATCAACCTCCTCATGAAGAGGAAGGAGGAGGAGGAGAATGAGGAGGAGGAGGAGGAGGAGGAGGAGGAGGAGGAGGGGATGCATGGAAGAGGAATATGTACGATCGAAATCCAGGAGCAAACGAGCAGTGAAAATGTTGTGGTCTTGGTAATAAATATAATTATATATATATATGTATATACTCATACGCACCTCTCCGAAGGAGTAAAGCTCAGAAGCGATTGATGCGTACGCGCCGCGTCGTTCGCGATGTGTCTGGCCGCTTCGCTGGGGGCATCCTCGAAATTCTGACATCCGGTGGCCCCCGTCACACAGATCGTGACATCAGGGTCCAAAAACACATGGGAATTTCAACATGTTAACATAAAACGTTCAAAAACACATTGTAATTTCAATAATTGGGACCCCGATTCTCAGAGAATGGCGGTTTCGCCTAAGACATCCTCCCAAAATCGAACCCCGACGTACCTTCTGGTACCCCAGACCCCGCCTGGGAGCCTCCTGGGGGCCTCCTGGGACCTCCTGGGGCCGGGGCTTTCTTTACCTTCTGGTACCCCAGACCCCGCCTCGGAGCCTCCTGGGGGCCTCCTGGAACCTCCTGGGGCCTCCTGGGGCCTCCTCCGGCCTCCGGAGCCTCTTGGGGCCTCCTGGAGCCTCCTGGGGTCTCCTGGGGCCTCCTGAGGCCACCTAGGGCCTCCAGGGGCCTCCTGGGGCCTCAGAACTATATGCACACACAGAGACACAAATCACACCCAACACATCATACGCAAGACAAACATAACACACACACACACACACACACACACACACACACACACACACACAACCTACAACGCACAGAAAACACGCACAACACAGAGCATACATCACACACACACACACACACACACACACGCACACACACACACACACACACACACACACACACACACACACAGACACAGGACACTGACAATCCTGGGGCCTCCTGGAGCCTCTTCCGGTGTCCAAATCGGGCCTCCTGAGGTTTTCTGGGGGGCCCTGGTACACACTTCGCAAGGTGTAGCAACCCCACTTGCGCTCGAGTGCGAAATCGTTTTTTTGTCCCAACCATCCTGTGGTGTTGGGTCCTCGTTTTGAAGAGACGGTCCCCGCGTCACATCCTCCCGCTGCCCCCTCCCCCCTCCTCCCTCCCCCCCTCGTCCCTGCGCTTCACCCACCCAGCACAGCGCTTCGTGGCCCCATCGGGAGCTCCACCGAAGGCCCCAATGGCAGCGTTCGCATGGCGGCCTCGGGCCATTTCGGCACACCCCTCACGAGGATCGCGGCCCGGCAGGGAGCCCCACCGAAGGCCCCAGTGGCAGCGTTCGCATGGCGGCCTCGGGCCATTTCGGCACACCCCTCACGAGGATCGTGGCCCCATAAGGAGCTCCACCGAAGGCCCCAGTGGCAGCGTTCGCATGGCGGCCTCGGGCCATTTCGGCACACCCCTCACGAGGATCGTGGCCCCATCTCCACCGAAGGCCCCAGTGGCAGGGTTCGCATGGCGGCCTCGGGCCATTTCGGCACACCCTTCACGAGGATCGTGGCCCCATAGGGAGCTCCACCGAAGGCGCCAGTGGCAGGGTTCGCATGGCGGCCTCGGGCCATTTCGGCACACCCCTCACGACGATCGTGGACCCATAAAGGGAGCACCACCGAAGGCCCCAGTGGCAGCGTTCGCACGGCGGCCTCGGGCCTTTTCGGCACACCCCTCACGAGGATCGTGGCCCCATAGGGAGCTCCACCGAAGGCCCCAGTGGCAGCGTTCGCATGGCGGCCTCGGGCCATTTCGGCACACCCCCCAACAGCATCGTGGCCCCATAGGGAGCTTCACCGAAGGCCCCAGTGGCAGCGTTCGCACGGCGGCCTCGGGCCATTTCGGCACACCCCGCACGAGGACCGCGGCCCCATAGGGGGCTCCACCGAAGGCCCTAGTGGCAGGGTTCTCATGGCGGCCTCGGGCCATTTCGGCACACCCCTCACGAGGATCGTGGCATCCACCGAAGGCGCCAGTGGCACGGTTCGCACGGCGGCCTCGGGCCATTTCGGCACACCCCTCACGAGGATCGTGGCCCCATCGGGAGCTCCACCGAAGGGGCCACTGGCAGGGTTCGCATGGCAGCTCGGACGATTTCGGCACACCCCTCACGTGGCCCCATAGGATCTCCACCGAAGGCCCCAATGGCAGGGTTCGCACGGCGGCCTCGAGCCATGTCGGCACACCCCATCACGAGGATCGTGGCCCCATAGGAGCTCCACCGAAGGCCCCAGTGGCAGCCTCCCTCATGGCTCTCAGAGCCCTCTCCTGTTTCTGCTCCTCGGTCAGGGGGACGCCGTCCTCGTCGTCGTCGGCGCCCGCGAAGACAGCCACGAACGTGTCCCTGAGCATGTCGGGCTCCGGCGGGAAGTTGCGGCCACATCGGGAGCGCGGGCGAAGATGTTATTCACAATTGCGGTAGTCACAACTGCGTATGGTTGGGTCTTTCGCCAATCTAATTGTTTTTGTATGAGCCTGGGTACACACGTGCCACTTGTATATATCGCATCGCTCGTTATCCGTAGAATGTTTCCCAGGGGAAATTGTTGGAAATATGTTCGGCGGCGAATTAATGGCAGTCGGCATCCGAGGGGGGGTCATTACCATGACACGCGGCCCTCCTCCTCATCATCACCCAACCATCGCCTTCCCGTTTGGCATCGGTCCTATTGTCCTTCGTTTGTGTTTATTTGCGGAGGTGGCTCTTTTGACCTCCGCCCGTTCAATGCCGTCTCCACCAACTTGTATCAACAGTAACAACGGCAAACACGGGATAACAATAAATTGTCGAGCTCGGGCGAAACCCCGGCGGGCCGTCGGTAGAATTGAAACGCCGCAAGAAGGGTCCACGACTCGGACCAGCACCGGCCGCCAGAAGAATGCCCACAAAGGCGACGCCAGCGGCTTCGCCACAGTCGGACCTAGGCAAGAAGAACATCCCTGAAAAACATGAGACCATCTGTCGGCCAAAACAAACAGAACATCCAAGATTACCTCCCTAAGGTGCACAAGAACATCCAGCAAACACAAAGAACACTAAGGTACCCTGCCCGAAGCGCTTTCGATCTTACACCTCGGTCCGACCGTACATAAGGATGCTCGGACTAACCTGGCGACGGACATGAGGGAGGGAAGAGGCACGACGGAGAGGGGGCAACGGTTGGAGTTCCTGCCGCTGCTGCTGCTGCTGCCGCCTTTATGCCGCCGCGAGAAGGATGCGCCGAGTTACACGTGCACTGTCTGCGGTGTGCAAGCTTACTCCCGACAAAGGGTGATGTCAAAAAAAACGCGCCCCGCAAGGTCTCAGGAGGCAACTATTGGTATGTCTTCGTCGGAAAGAGTAAGGAAGATTAAGCTGCATTGGGGGTTGCTGCTACACTGGACTAGGCCGCGGAATACGCGGGAGTAGACCGGATCAAGCGGGAGTAAGGCGAATTAAGCGGGATTGAAGCGGATGTTGGACTAGGGCAAAGTCAGAGTTTGACCTCACAGGAGATGCATCCGAAAAGATCCACTCATCTGCCATCGGAAGGGTGGTTACTCGTCCGTCATCAGCTGAAACGGTTTACCATTGCTCTGTCGTTGTGTGTCTTGCACCCCAGACACTTTGATATACAGTGTGCAGGTGCCGTTTGTTCGACGCTGCCAGTGTATACAGCAAGTGCGAGTACCCTCGAGGAGCCCGAATACGCCCCTCCCATGATCCAGAATGCCACCACGCTGCCGCCCGCTGTCGCCCGCGGCCTCCCAGGAGGGCACGTACGCCGAGGATTCGCAACGCTGCGGCCCGTTGCCGCCTCCGTAGGCATGTCGAGGATTCGCCGAATTGCCACCCGCTGCCGCCTCGCTGCCGCGTCGTTGCCGCCCCGTGCACTGCATGGGCACGTCGAGGATTCGCCACGTTGCCGCCAGATGCTGCCCGTTGGCAGCCCGTTGCCGCGTCGTCGCCGCCTATTGCGCTGTGTGGGTATGCCGAGGACTCGCCAACTTGCCGCCCGTTGCCGAATTCTGCCGCCTGCGGGGGTCCGACGAAGACTCGCCACTTTGCCGCCTTTGTCGCCCGCTGCCGCGCCACTGTCGCCTCGTGCGCTGTGCGGGTGAGGATTCGCCACGTTGCCGCCCGCTGCCACCAATTGCCGCCTGCGGGGTTATGCTGAGGATTTGCTACGTTGCCGCCCGTTGCCGCGTCGTTGGCGCCTCGTGCGCTGTGGGTGTACCGACGATTCGCCAGCCACCCGTTGCCGAACGTTGCCGCCTACGGGGGTATGTAGAGGATTCGCCACGTTACCGCCCGTTGCCGCGTCGTTGCCCCCTCGTGCGATGCGTGGGTATGCCAAGGATTCGCAAGGTTTCCGCCCAGTGCGACCCCGTCACCGCCTGGCTCGCGCCACATGGCTTACACGGCATATCTATCACCACATTGTTTACACCGATCAACGCCCACGGTGCAGTACCAGGACACAGCTTACAACCCATACCTTACACCACATAGTTGCACCTCCATCTTAAACAACACACGTTCCACCTTCACAACGTAGCTTATACCGCAATGTTTGGGCTCCACGAAGGCTAACATTATAAAGGTGTATGTGGTCGTGCGTATGTGATTACGAAAGCAATGCCCCGTGACCCGGCCCTGAGGCCCCAACCGGTAGTCGGGGTGGACGTGCTCGTGACAGTAGCGGTTGTCCTGGAAGTGGTTGTGGTGCTCATCTGGCGGTACCACGCTGGAAGACGCCAAGTATGGTTGGAGAGCTGACGATTTGAATGGAGAAGGAAGAGAAGGGGAGGAGAGAGGGAATGGATGAAAGGGCGGCGATGCAGATCTGGCTGCGCTCCTACGTTTCCCGGAGGGTCAAACGGATGATACTATAGAGGCGCACCTGAATACGCACCTGCGGCTCCTGGAAAACAGGACGGGTGAACATGCTGATGCTGATTTGAAACGTTCCTGCCAGCTGTAAAGATGTCGTCTGCAACAAGGGGTACTATAAATTAGCCTGGCGAAGGACACAATTATATGCAGTCGTGAGTACCGCAATGATGAATATCTTCTTCGGTGCTCCCTATGGGGCCACGAAGCGCTGTACTGGGTGGGTGAAACGCAGGGAGCAAGGGCTGTGCTGGGTGGTGGCTGACGCATTCGGGCGGTGCCACTGAGACCTTCGGTGGAGCTCCCTATGGGGCCACGGAACGCTGCACTGGGTGGGTGAAACGCAGGGAGCAGGGGCTGTGCTGGGTGGTGGCGGACGCATGCGGGCGATGCCACTGGGACCTTCGCTGGAGCCCCCAATGGGGCCACGAAACGCTGTACTGGGTGGGTGAAACGCAGGGAGCAAGGGCTGTGCTGGGTGGTGGCTGACGCATGCGGGCGGTGCCACTGGGACCTTCGGTGGAGCTCCCTATGGGGCCACGAAGAGCTGTACTGGGTGGGTGAAACGCACAGAGCAAGGGCTGTGCTGGGCGGTGCCAGTGGGACCTTCGATGGAGCCCCCCATCATGGGGCCACGAAACGCTGTACTGGGCGGGTGAAACGCAGGGAGGAGGGGGAGGAGGGCCACGAAACGCTGTACTGGGTGGGGGGGACGCATGCGGACGGTAGACCTGGAACCTTCGGTGGAGCTCCCTATGGGGCCACGAAACGCTGTACTGGTGGGTGAAACACAGGGACGAGGGGGAGGAGGGCCACGAAACGCTGTACTGGGTGGGGGGGGACGCATACGGACGGTAGACCTGGCCCGGCACAGAAACGGAAAGAGCGCTTCAGAAATAGAAACCGAAATTACTCACACCACCGTTCGTACTGGGAGCCTTGGCGTTGAGAGCTTGTTACGTCACCCCTCACTCTTGGGAGCCTTGGTGTTCAGAGATTGTTGCGTTGCCGCCCGTTCCTGAGCCTTGGCTGGGCCTTGGTGTCAGGAATTTGTTACGTCACCGCTCTCTGCTGTGAACCTTGGTCTTATCAGCTTGTTTACGTCACCGTTCGCTCTTGGGAGCCTTGGTGTGAAGAGCTTTTTGCGTTACCGATCGCTCTCTATTTGGCGTCTCTGGGCCTTCTTGGGAGTCCCAGTGGACCCCTTGTCGGGCCCTTTTGGAGGCCTCTTGGGAACCTCTTGCGGGCCTCTTGGGGCTTCTTGGGGGGCTCTGGGGGCCTCCTGGGAGCGTCTTGGGGCGAAAGGCGGACTTTTCGGTTCGTGGTCCCCCTCTCGGGGCCGTCTTGGGGCCCTCTTGGGCCGTCTTGGGCGCCTCTTGGGCCGTCTTGGCGCCCTCTTGGGCCGTTTTGGGGGCATCTTGGGAGCATCTTGGGCCGTCTTGGGGCGGTCTTGGGGGCCTCTTGGAGCGTCTTCAACGCAGTGAAAGCCGAAAAGCCTTGTATGCTAAAAATGTACCTTTTCCCCTAGGAAGTCAATGATGTTCGCCTCCCGGTGGCCTCTTGGGACGCCTCTTGGGGGCCTCTTGGGGCTTCTTGGGGGGCTCTGGGGGCCTCCTGGGAGCGTCTTGGGGCGAAAGGCTGACTTTTCGGTTCGTGGTCCCCCTCTTTGGGCCGTCTTGGCGCCCTCTTGGGCCGTCTTGAGCGCCTCTTGGGCCGTCTTGGGGCCCTCTTGGGCCGTTTGGGGTGCCTTTTGGGAGCATATTGGGCCGTCTTGGGGCGGTCTTGGGGGCCTCTTGGGCCGTCGTCAACGCCGTGAAAGCCGACAAAGCGCATATGCAAAAAAAATACGCTTTCCTCTGGAAAATCAATGATTTCGGCCTCTTGGGGCCCTCTTGGGACGCCCCTTGGGCGCCTCTTGGGGGCCTCTTGGGGGCCTCTTGGGCCGTCTTGGGCGGTCTTGGGCTCTCTTGGAGCGCTCTTGGGCCGTCTGGGGGGGGAACCCGAAAAACATGCAAAAACCCTAGGGAAAACCCGAAAACGGCCATTAACACGCAAATGCGCACGCTACCCCCCTCCCCTGGAACCCCTCCCTTTAGAGCTTCGCCCACACCAGAACGTCATCACTCGTACCTCGCCCTTTCCGTTACCTGGAACCTTCGGTGGAGCTCCCTATGGGGCCACGAAGCGCTGTGCTGGGTGGGTGAATGAAACGCAGGGAGGAGGGGGAGGAGGGCCACGAAACGCTGTACTGGGTGGGGGGGACGCATGCGGACGGTAGACCTGGAACCTTCGGTGGAGTTCCCTATGGGGCCACGAAACGCTGTACTGGGTGGGTGAAACGCCGGGAGGAGGGGGAGGAGGGCCACGAAACGCTGTACTGTGTGGGGGGGGGACGCATGCGGACGGTAGACCTGGAACATTCGGTGGGGCTCCCTATGGGGCCACGAAACGCTGTCCTGGGCGTGGGGGACGCATGCGGGCACCCCCACTGGGGGTTTCGGTGGAGCTCCGTATGGGGCCACGAAACGCTGTGCTGGGCGTGGGGAACGCATGCGGCCCCCCCCACTGGAGCCTTCGGTGGAGCTCCCTATGAGGCCACAAAACGCTGTGCCGGGCGTGGGGGACGCATGCGGCCCCCCCCACTGGGGCCTTCGGTGGAGCTCCCTCCTTCGGTGGAGCTCCCTATGGGGCCACGAAACGCTGCCCTGAGCGTGGGGGACGCATGCGGCCCCCCCCCACTGGGGCCTTCGGTGGAGTTCCCTATGGGGCCACGAAACGAATCAGCCATGGCGATGCCGATGATGACGATGATGGTGATGGTGATGGTGATGGTGATGGTGTGTGTGATGATGGTGATGGTGATGGTGGTGATGGTGATGGTGATGATGGTGATGGTGATGGTGATGATGATGATGATGATGATGATGATGATGATGATGATGATGATGATGATGATGATGCTGCTGCTGCTGCTGATGATGATGATGATGATGATAATGTTGTTGTTGGGGATGATGATGATGAGGAGGAGGAGGAGGAGGATGATGGTGATTAGTATTACAATTATGATTAGGATGATGATGATGATGCTGATGATGATGATGACGATGATGATGATGATGATGATGATGATGATGATGATGATGATGATGATGATGATGATGATGATGATGATGATGATGATGATGATGATGATGATGATGATGATGATGATGATGATGATGATGATCGTGGGAGGAGGGGGTGAGCTGAGACATGCGGAGAGCAAAGGCAAAGATGGGGAGGAGGGAGGAGGAGGAGAGGAGGAAGGAGGAAGGAGGTGGGACGCGGGGCGCTGCCTCTTCAAAACGAGGACCCAACACCACAGGATGGTTGGGAAAAACAAAGGGGCCAAGCAACGAGGAGGACGAGCAAACAGGGCTGAATTGTGTCGAATCGCGAAACTGGGTCGGAACGGCAACGGATCGGATCGCCCCTCGCCCCCCCAACTCAAGCTTGCCCTTGCAGATGCTGGTGAATCGATCTGAACCCATTCGAACTGAGAATTGAAATCGTGGGCCCAGCCAGTAACTCGAATCGCGTCGAATCGTAATGTGGACGGCCCGGACAAGACGGAACAAGGAGGGTGACGAGAGAAACACCACGAGGAACTACACACCCCACCGACCTCCAGAAATCCAGAACCGATGGACCCACACTCACTCACCATTCGGATAGGGGATCGAATGCAGAATTGATATACCCATCCTGCTGTTCTCGTCGAGTCTAAGAAAAATGCGTAAAGCGTTCGCAGCTCTGCACGACCATGTTACGCATGCATCTTCGGCAGGTTCGGCGCGACGATTGTTAATATTGGGGTAAACCAATTCTCTGCCGTCGCACCCAATGAGAGGCGGCAGATCAAGAATCGAGGAGCGAGGAGAACTTCCACTTCAGGGCCTTTGCGTCGAACCTCGAAAAGGGGGCGGCGCGGTGAGGGGGCCTCGCGCAGTGCCAAGGAGGGTCATCAGCACCCCGCCTCCTCCTGGAAATCGAAGACCGAGGAGGATCGGCGCGAGGATCGAGGATCGAGGAGGACCGAGGATCGACGAGCGAGGAGGCTGTCTGACGTTTTGTCGGACGTCCCCGCAGCTCCTGGGGCGCCTGGGAGGGGGGGGGGGGTGCCCGGGGGGTCCAGGGGGAGCCCGCCTCCTGGAGGAGGCGGCTCCCCAACCGCCCCCCCCCCCCCGAAGGGGCGTGCCTTCTCGGGAGGCTCGGAATTCCCCCGGCCTTCTGAGAAGTTCTCGAGGCCTTCCCGCAAGGCACCAGGGCTGGACCAAAACGTTGCTTTCGTTTTGTTTTCGTTCTGTGTTTCGTTTTGCTCCACATGTTTTCGTGTACCTCCCTGCCAGAACGAAAAAGAAAACACAGCCGAAGTCCAGCAACACAGCGCTTAGGTCCAACACAAGAAACCTCTCAGGAGGCGAGAGGGCTTCGGAGAAGTCCCGCCGCCTTCTGAGAGGCCTTCTCCTCTTCGCTTCCCCCCCTTCGCTCGCCGCCGAAGCTCGAACACCACTGCAGGTGCTGTGCACATGCTGCCCTGCACGGACGAGAGAAGGTGGGCAAGGGGAGTCGGGCCGCAACCTAAAGAGGGGGCCACTACCCAATCGCCCACAAGAGTCGCGGCGCGGGGCGCGCAGGGCTGACGCGACCGCAGGCCCTAACTGCCCAGCCAGACTCGCAGGACGAGGCCGGAGGGCAGGAGCAGGCCGCCGACGACAAAACGCGAGCGGGGAGAAGACGCACCGCCCAAGAAGCGACATCGAGTGCAGGCTGGCGAGGCTGACGCTGTTGAGGGACCGCCGTGCGTGTAGACAAACAAGTGTGGACAGGGGCCACGGAGGGAGGCTCGGTCATAGAAGAAGAACAACGGCATAAACATAAACTTTTGGCGCTGCGCGCGGATTTCTTGGATCCGCGCTGGACCCCCTCTCTGGTGCGCGGAGCGCGCCAGGGGCGGCGCCGGAGGCGCCGCGGGGGGGGGCCCATGCGCCGATCCAAGAAGTCCGCGAGGAGCGCCAAAGTTTATGTTGATGGAGTTTTGTTCTTCTTCGAGGTCATCCTTCCATCGGGCAACTACGCGGAGGCCCGCGCAGCGTCTGGCCCGACCCTCGGAAAGCCAAAAGGTACCGATACCGCAACTCCCAGGACTTCTTCCGGGGTGCGTTCTGGCCAGGATTTCGGGGCGGATCCAGCGGTGGCGACGAGGCCCTCCCAGGAGGCCCCAAAAAAGAGAAAGCAAGGCAAAGGTAGCCGTATCGTTTGGCACCTTTTCCTCCTCCGAGACCCGCCCACTCGAGGACACCCCTGCAGCACCGCGATGGCGAGGCAGCAGACGTCGAAGGCGACTGGAACGGCGCTCTCTCGGCGCCGCGCTGCTGCATTGGAGGACCTATAGCAGCCCTCAGGGCCCTCCCGAACCAACAGAGGCTCCCTTCCTTGCGCTCAGCGGCTCTTCGCATGAGGACGCAGGCAGCTGAAACGGGCGGGAGCATCGCAGATCACCTGCGCGAGAAAGGGACGCTCCTGAGCAGAGTGTGGCTCACGCTCAGCATGCGCTCTCGACCAGCCTAGTGGCAAGCTCCGCGTGCACGACAGCGGACCTGTGGCACGAAGTTTCTACAGCCTGAAAGGGGCACAAGGTATAGGGGAGAGGATGGCAAAAAGAGGGCTGTACACACATTGCTGTAGACTGCCCGGTCGATAAGATTTGCCAGGCGATCCAAAACATGTTCGATTACGTATGCCACCGCTGAGTGTTTTCACTGCGCTCATGGCCCCAATTGCGCCTGCTGCAGCTGGATCCACTGAGCAAGAGACCTGCGCAAAGCTTGGCACTAGCTAGAGGAACCGAAGCTACGGACGAGTGAATGGGGAACGAAGATTCACTATTCACGATTCACTGCGCACTATTCACTACTCACTACTCACTACTTTGTCCTCACTACTCGCTACTGGCTACTATCTACTGCCTACTCACTGTTCACTACTCACTACTCACTACTCACTACTCTCTACTCACTACTCACTACTCACTATCCCGAGGCCAGACCCCCCCCCCTTGCGGGAGAGGCCCCCTCCCCGGCACCCTGTTCTGCGCAAAGGGGGGGAGGGGGGGGGGTCGAACCACCCCACCCCCCTTCCAGCGCCAAGGAGGGGAGGGGGGGGGGGGTCTGGAACCCCCCCCCTTCGAAGGGGGGGGGGTTCGGAACCCCCCCTCCCCCCTAAGGGGGGAGGGGAGGGGGGGGTCGAAAATCTCTTCCCCCCTTTGAAGGGGGGAGGGGGGCGGGGTTCGGAACCCCCCACACTTTATCAATTACAGGGCGATCCAGTGGCGCGCTTTCGTATTATGGAGCAGGGCTGCAAGAGGGCTTCAGGCTAGAAGAAAAATGGGAGACGGGGCGCCTGTGGAACAAAAACAATCAAAAATGTGTTCGCCTGCTTGGGGGGGAACGTGGCGCGTACCTCCGGCACCTTGGAGAAACCGCAACTCCCGAATGGACCAAAATTGCGAACGGCCGGGAGCCCGTCCACTTCGCGCGCGCGTGGGTTGGCATTCCGTCTGGAACTCTGCGCCCTGGGCTACTACAGGGCGTGCTGCGAGTTCTCTCCGCGGCCAAGTCTGCTGAGTTTGCCCCGGCAATCCCGACGAGAAGGGCTGGCCCCGCAGCGCTCTCGCTCAAAACCATCCCGGTCGCACTATAACTACGGCGAGCCGTTCCACCAGGACCGACTTCTCCTCAGCGCGAGCGCGCCTCGAAAACGTCCTCTTCCCTCTCCTGGGGCGAGGGCAACGGCAACCGTGGCCAGAGCGCGTCGAGACAGACCCAACAAAACGGAGCGCTGCTGCCTGGTGGTGTGGTCGTCGTCCGCGTGCTCGTGGCTGAGGTCCTGCTCGAAGTCGACGTCAGCGTCCTTCGAGCGACTCGCAAAGGCAAAGCGCCCGAAGCGTGGGGTGCGCGGCGGGGGTGTATCCGTCACCACCTCCCCGGAATCGACCTTCGGGGACCTCGGACGGCGGCGGGCATGGACACAGCCCAACCCCAGGGACCACAGAAGATTAGGGGCGAGCACGCCAAGAAAAGGGAAGAGGACGACAAGACGGAGGCGACTGGCATGGGATCTGGAGGGGGAGTAAGACCAGCGTAAAGCCAAGACCCGACAACGAGGTTGCAACGAGCCATGCCTCGAAGCTCCCTCTGCACAGGCCCTTGCCAAAGTCTACTTGAACTGCTGGAAAAGCCGCGTTGGAAGACAACCGTCCGAAAGTCTTCAACCGTACCAAAACACCACCCTTGGGACTTCCATGCCGCGAATCACGTCACCGGTGCAACCAGACGAGCCGAAACAATGTCAGAACACTGTTCATGGTGTCACAGAGTGACGGACATAGGGTGATCACGAGAGCGTCGTCCGCGAGAGGGGAGGCCCTGTGTCCCTGGCCAGAGGGCGACCAGCTCAAGGCACACACGTGCACACCTAAGCCAAAGGCCGCGGAGGAGGACTGGAGAGACCCAGCGAGGACCCAACACCCAGGGGGCACTGGGGGCGTCGACAGTGCAAATCCATGTGGCTGTCGGCACGCGAGTGGCCCCATGAGGCCGTGCCCCCTGCGCGTGCGCTGCGCCTCCCCCCTCCCGCCCTCCCGGCCCGAGGTGTTTGGACGGGCTGGCCCTCGAGTAGGCCAAAGGGGTGGCTTCCAGGCGGGCGCCGCGATCGAGCCAGCGCCAGCTCTTCGTCCCCCCGATCCGCTGGCCTGCGATCGGCCACGATTCTCGACCCTAGGCGAATTCTAACGCACACCTGCCACTCCCGCCCTGGAGCCCCAGCGACCTCCCAGGAGCACATACTTCCACGACAATCCTGGCTCGCCTCTTCGGGAAACGGGGCGCCCCCTCCCCTACCCCGTGCGAGAGAGCATGGGTGCTCCCCCTGTGAGGGGGCAGAGCGTCTGAGATGTCCCTAGATGGCCCCTGGATGTCCCCAGATTGCGGATAGCCCAACTTGGCCAGTGATGGTCTCTAGTAAGCCTCCAAGCAGCCAAAGAAAACTCAAAGATGGCTCTCGGATAGCGGTAGCCCTAGAGCATCGCAAAAATGCCTCCGAGAAGCCAACATCATCGAACAGCTTCGACTTATCGCCATCTTGATTCGCCATCTCGCCTTCTCGCGCTCTTGCTTCCGATGGGCCTCTTTGGTTTTTGTTGCGGGGACGGGCACACAAGGACTCGAACATGCGGTCAATGCGCTGGCTTGCATGTTTAAATTCACAACATGACTGGCATTCGTCGGTAGTGACCGTGAGGAGCAGCTCGACCAGGTTTACCCTGACCCACAGACTTCGCTGCAGAGGGGAAAGAAAGCGGAAGGGTCAGGCTGCAACTGAAGAATCGATTGGGATGCTGAGACTGCTCAGCTTCCATGTCGAGTTATGTGTACAACGCATGATCAAACAATTAATGCTGTAAAAATTACACCGCACGATCTGAAAACATGTGCGTCGCGGGTGACAACTAAGCCTTTGTTCTGAATTCGTAGTAGCTGCAATAGACCCCAAAACATCGACGTTGAGGCCCCTCAGCGAAAATGCGAAGTCATGCACCCAGAGCCTCAAGTGAAATCTCGCGCGCATCGCTCGTGGATTGCTGCTCCTTCGACGAACCCTGATTCTTCGTGGGCATATTGAAAACTGGCGAGCTGCCCAGCCGGCCGAAAGAGCAGCCACCGCCCACAAAGATGGAACCTGCGAAGATGTTCCCGAGAGTCACGGGGATGAAATTCCTCCAGAGACAATCCAGAACTGACACGTCGGCGCCGGCCATCATCCCCATGGGGATCATGAACATGTTGGCTGGGATATGCTCGAAGCCGATGGCCACGAAGCAAGAGATCGGGAACCAGATGCCTAACATCTTGCCAACCATGTCCTGCGCCTGGCCCTGCAGGAACACAGCCATGCACACCAGCCAAGTGCAGCCGATTCCTCTGAGGAAGGTGATCGGAAAGTTCCCCTTGACCTTCTTCTCCGACACCTTGATCGCAAGCTTGGCAGTCAGGTCAACATTCAAGTTACAGGCCGTGAAAACGCAAGCAAAGAGCAAGGCCCCCAGCAGATTGCCAATCCAAGCCAACGCAAACGTCCTCAGGATCTGCATCCGGTGCAGCTTGCCTTCAAACACCGCGGCAGGCACGGTCGCCACTGTACCTGTGATCAGCACCCCACCTTTGAGGAGGATGAGCAGCAGGTTCACAGGGAAAAGCGCCTCGAATACAAATGTCTGGATGGTAGGGTCCTGGTAGGGTTGTCCTGGGCTGCGCTGTCGAGGCCGCCAACCACAACCATCGACAGCATGCCCCCGAAGCCTTAGTAGCAACCCGCGTAGAAAGACTGGTGGAAGATCTTGATGGACGAGTCGCCGCCCATCGACACGCCTTTGTCTACCATACCCATGAAGGCCTCCTTGGTGGGTTTCACGATCGACACGAGCTCCGGCATGGTCGCGTAACCTGCTCCAGAAAGGAGGCGCCCCTGGCACTTGGGGCGAGAATTGCGCAACGGCAAAATCGGACAGCGCAAATCTTGCGCAAGACTTGGGCCAAATTTGAGCCAAAGGAGCTTCGGTTGCTTCCGATGGGCCACTATGGCTTCGAGGTGGCCACAAGATGGCCCAACGAAGGCCCCAGCATGGCCCCAAGAGAGCTCCAAAGAACTTCCTTTTGGCCCCAAGCATGGCCCCAAGAGGACCGCAAAGGCGACTCCAAGGAAAGCCCGAACAGGGCCTCAAAGAACCAGGAGGGCCCACACAAAGCTTCAAGATGGCATGAAGATGCCCTGGTTCCAAGTAGGGTCCGCAAAGTGGTCGGCAGAGCAGGCTAATCCCAGCTTCGTTTTGCAGCTTCGATGTGACCTGACCCCCTTTCAATTCTCCTCCACTCCCTTTCGCACAACAACAATTCGCAAAATGACGGATTATGGTAAGGATGTTGGGGACACGAGGGTCATCAAGAACACGACTTGCCACAGACCACATCTCACTGGGGCAACAATCAAAGCGAGACGAGTCTTACACCATCCCTGGGTGCGTGACTAAAGTGGGCATCCGCGATGCGGATTGCTGTTATTGTGTTGTGCTGTGCTGTATTGTTTATTGTTTCCGTCGTCCTCCTAAACAACGACCAGCCCGCGACACGCCCACGATCCGCCCGCGACTCACCCGCGACCCGCCCGCGACTCACCCGCGTCACGCACACGATCCACCCGCAGTGCCCTTACAAAATTTCGGCGCCTGCGGCTGCCACGTTGTGAAGCGCGTACACCATGGGCGCCTGCGGCGGACTTCAAATTTGCTTGCGAACTCCGCAGAATGCCGACTCACTCATACCCGTAACTGGGCGGGAGGGGCAATGATCCAGCATACGACATCCCTCATGGCTCACGGAGGGCTTGCACACCACACCGATTAATCACTGTCCCTGCAAGGTCGACGGTGCCCCAGGGGGGACGTGGGGCGACATGCGAATCCCACCAGCACTCTGGGAGTGAGTGGTTTAGCGGGTTTCCTCTTCCGTCTTCCTTCCTGCCCTTCGGGGAGTGGTCCATCACTGTTCCCTACTAATATACACCCCCTCCCCCAGGCGACCAGCAGCCAACCAGGAACAATGCCGACCCTATGCTCACACACACACCCCAACCATCCCTGTCAAAAAACACTACAAAACACACTCTGCCTCCAAATTCGAAGCATGCGCAACCAACCCGATGCGGCCCCCCACCATCCCTGTCAAGAAACATGGGAAACGCTATTCTGGCCCATGGAGTGCGGTTCTTCAAAAGAAATTGCGTTTCCCATAATTCGGAATTCCGAGAATTCGAATTCTGAATTATGCGAAACGCCATTTTTCTAATAATAACATTTTTACATAGAAAATATTGTTTAAATGAAAACACAAAAAAAAAAAAAAAAAAAAAAAAAAAAAAAAAAAAAAAAAAAAAAAAAAAAAAAAAAAAAAAAAAAAAAAAACGCACTCAATGAGCCACAATTGCGTTTCCCACAATTCGGAATTATGGGAATTCGAATTATGAATTATGGGGAACGCAGTTCCCCCTAAAAAACCGCGCTCAATGAGCCAGTAGCGTTTCCCACTAGTCGGAATTATGGGAAACGCAAGTCTGGCCCATCGCCTGTGGTTTTTCAGGGGAAACTGCGTTTCCCGTCATTCGGAACTCCGAGAATTCGAATTCTGAATTATGGGAAACGCAAATGTCCAAAAACTAAACAAAAAAAACAATGAGCCACAATTGCGTTTCCCATAATTCCGAATTACGGTAAACGCAATTCTGGCCCATTGTGCGCGGTTTTGTCCAGGAAAACTGCGTTTCCCATAATTCCGAATTCCGAGAATTCGAATTCTGAATCATGGGAAACGCAGTTTCCCCTTAAAAACCGCAGTCAATGAGCCACAATTGCGTTTCCCGTAATTCGGAATTATGGGAAACGCAATTCTGGTACATCGAGTGCGGTTTTTCAAAGGAAATTGGGAAACGCAATTTTCCTCCAAAAAACGCACTCAATGAGCCACAATTGCATTTCCCAGAATTCGGAATTATGGGAAGCGCAATTCTGGCCCATAGAGTGCAGTTGTTCAAAGGAAGTTGCGTTTCCCATAATTCGGAACTCCGAGAATTCAAATTATGGGAAACGCAATTCTGGCCCATTGAGTGCCGTTTGGGGGGAAATTGCGTTTCCCAGAATTCGGAATTCCGAGAATTCGAATTCTGAATTATGGGGAACTGATTTTTTTTTCAAAAAACCGCACTCAATGGGCCAGAATTGCGTTTCCCACAATTCGGAATTATGGGAAACGCAAGTCTGGCCCAGCGAGTGCGGTTTCTCAAGGGAAATTGCGTTTCCCATAATTCGGAATTCCGAGAATTGGAATTCTGAACTATGGGGAACGCAATGTTCGTCAAAAAAACGCACTCGATGAGCCACAATTGCGTTTCCCATAACTTTTAATTATGGGAAACGCAATCCTGGACGACTGCCCCCCACGATCCCCGAAGAGGCCCCCTAAGAGAACCCCAGAAATCTCCAAGCTGCTTCTGGTCAACAACCCACACCCGGTGGCGGGATGGGCCACTGGCCACTGCATCCGCCGCCCTCTGTGATCTGTCCACAGTGGTTGCCTGGCGTGCCGAGGTTTTGGCGTGGTCAAAACAGCTCCAGCATGTCCAGTGAGACCTCGGCCCACGCAACCAGCAATACGAAAAGACCGGTGCGAAGGTGTTTCACCCGCCTCCAAGATTGCCAAAGGCGGTCCAAAACGGCCCCAAAGACGGCCTAAGGCGACTCCAAACGGCCGAGATGTGATGGCAATATGGCAAGACGGCTCTAAGACGATCCAGGATGACCTGAAGAAGACCCAAGACCCTCATTGCTTGCCATTGGTTCGTTCAATCGATGTCGCATTATCGCCTTTTGGGGGCTTCGACGTCCGAAGGCGTCCCCAGACGCCTCCAAGCTAACGAGATGCCCCCAGATGTCCCAAAGACGCCTCATGTTCCTCCAGTTCCTTCGTCCCCTCAATCGCATCACCATCTCTTCCTCCCACGTAAGTGTTCCCCCACGGGTTTCCAGAGCGGCTGTAGGAACACGTAGCCCAATAGCTTTGCAGGACTCCGGCCCAACGTTTAGCCACAGATGCGTTTCAGAGAGGCTTGGGGCGTATGAGAAGCGTACAAAGTTCATCTCGACTGCAATGACATGTCATACATCTCTCTCTCTCTCTCGCGCTCGCTGTCTCATTGTCTCCCTCGCTGCGGGACCTCCCTAATTAATACGCATCACCACCCGTACTCCAGATGGAACGCCAGTCTTTACACGTTGACGGCAAAGCGATAATGTGTCTCTGCGCTCTGTACCTTTTCAGGCAGCTCGCTGAGGGAAGTATAGCTGGACACCAGAGGCAGCAGTACACGAGTGACTGGAGGCAATCTACATAGAAGGCCAGCGAAGGAAACCACAGGGCCCTGGACCTGGAGGTCGACCTTGCGATGGCATGGCCCCCCCGAAATGACCTTGATCACAGAGGCAGGACGACGAGCTGCGCGACGCTCCTGGAGGCGGTCGAAATGGCTCATCATCTGCTTGGCGTCCAGATCCAACGGCATCGCTGCGGGGGCCGTTACAGCCAACGCGTAAATAAGCATGGACGACAAAAATGCACGGGCCTCGGACGGCCGCGCCGACACGTTTCGAGCGGGGCGCGGCCAGCGAAAGTGGCCAAGGGCCGAAGGGGAGAAATGCGAAAGAACCCTGGAGCATCGCTCGCCCTTACTGCGCATCCGTGTTGACTGCACAGGAAGGATGGGCAAGAGCGGCCGTACACAGGGGCCCAACAAGCACGGCGGTGGGCTGGCTGGAAGTGCGCGTGGGGACCAAGCGGGGGCCAGGAGCCAGGATCGGCCCAAGCCACCATGTACAATCTCCTTCTCCATCCTGCCGCCCCGCTCTCTCGCACTATCCCCCGAAGAAGCCAGGAAACTTGTTAGGCTAAAGACAATGCCAACCGCAAACCATGAAGGCGAGAGGACGGGGAGACGAACGGAAGGCATCGCAATCGTGCGAGCGCAAAGGGATCTCGGATCCAAGGACAGGTCGCTCGATAACTCGACGAACGCCGACCTGGGGCGAGTGATGGCGAGGACCCAGGTGACGCGAACGAAACGCAAGGCTAACAAAAGCCGAAACAGGTACCGAAGAGAGATACTGGCTCCAATCCTTCAAATAAGAACACAGGACAATGGGGCTCCCCCACCGTGCCTCTGGCACGAAAGTAGGCGCGATCTGGCCTACAGTCGCTGATGCTGTCAGCAAGGAAGAAAATTGTGCCCGCGTTGACACTGCATGCTTGGAGGCGGGTCCTTGAACGCCGCGCACCCTCCGATCCTGGACGCGGCCGAGGCCTGCCGACTGCTCGCGTTTCGCGCGTATGTTTCGAGAGGCCCGCGGATACAGGTGGGAACGTAGGCCTCAAGCATGTCGCCGATACTCCGAAGGGCGCATCTTCGGGACTCCTCTGGGGTCTGCTGGGCCGTCCGTCTTGGGAAACCCAGCTTCGGGCCCGATTCGGGGTCTGCTGGGCCGTCTGTCTTGGGAGACGTGGGACCAACTCGAGCAACCCACATGAGAACAAGAACACCTGGTTGTCTTAACGATGTTGCAATTGCCGCTATTTGCTTGAACAGATTATGTTGGTGGCCCAGGATAGCCTCAAGGCGGCCTGCGATGGGCCAAAAAAAACCTGGACTCTATGGAGTCCCGAAAGGGTGCGGTGACAGACCGTGCGGTGACCTCGGAACCCCAAGAGACCTCACCGCACGGTCCGTCACCGCACGGTCTTGGGACCCTGAAGGCCCCTGTCGCCCGAGACATCCTCGGAGAACGACCCGAGTCCCAAAACCGTGCGGTGACCCCGAATCCCCACCGACTCACCGCACGGTGTGGTCACCACACCGTTTGGGGGCCCCCGAGACTCTGAGAGTACCCTCATGGAACAGAAAGAGGTCCCCGACAGCTCCACAGCTGGGGTCAGCTTTGGAGCCATCGGGTACCTGGGGGAGGGGAGCGACGGGGGGGGGAGTGCTAGGTGGAAGTGTGGGGAGGGGCGCGGAAGAGGGGAGGGAGGGGGAACGGGTGAACCCTGCCCATGGGGCCCCTCGCCGGCCCCCTCGTCGGACCGCCCGTCGGACGCCTCGTCGTCCTGCCCGCCGGAAGACTCGCCGTACCCGTCGGACGCCAGGCTCGTCGCCGCTCTCGCCGCACTCGTCGTCTTGCTCGTCACACGGGCTCTCAGCCAGGCTTGAGCTCAGCCAGGTCGACAAGTATCGACAAACCTCGTCGGGGATCCACTGGACCGGGTCAACCCAAACCAGGTCAATCGGGTTTCGCATGCTCTTGACAGAGCCTATAAGATCCTGCGGGATCCTGCGCGCTGACCCGGGTCAGTGCACCCCTCGCTTTACAGAATCCTGCAAGATCCGGCGCTCTGGCTGACCCCCGTATGCGTTGACCACCGTCTCAAAGCTGCAGGCATCGGCTGACACATCGCGTCAGCCCGGCGCCAGATCGGGCGAGGTCGAACCTGGAGATGCATCTCGGAATGCCCACATCGAGCCGGATCGAATCGAATCCATGGGAGCTCAATTTGACTCGGCCCGATGGGGTCGTAAAGCGCCCTGCAAGGCGGCCCCAAAGGGCCCCAGAGAGGCCCACGTCCAGCCCACGTCGCGCGACACTTTGTACCGGCGCAAGACGAGCCCTGCGGCGAGAGGAAAGGACAAGGGGGGGGCACGCGCGCCCGCACGCGCGCCAGGCCTGGCCGCAGCGGCCAGGGGAGCACCGAACTCACAAATCCATCGGGCGCGCCTGGGCGCGCGGCCAAGCGTTTCCTGAGGGACGCCCGCCAATCGGCCTCGGCACCCCTGGCTCGCTCCGCCTGGATCGACGGCAGCCAGGCACGTCGCGGGACACGGCAGTACTCTCAACCACGACGGCCCGAGGAGCCTCCGGGGGCACCCTCCAAGACCGTGGCTGGGAATGCTATGCTGGCCCCCGCCGTCCCCTCACTGCGCACCCGACCAGCACCCCAGGCACGGTGGCAGGATGGACCGACAACGAGGGGGGACGAAAAGGTAGGATAGCACAGGCCATTGTGGAGAATCGGCGCACGTAGTTAGCTGGTTTTCCTGGCGCCTCCTGGCGCCGACAGGCGCCCATGCATCGAGGAATGGGCCAGGTGGCGCGGCGGAAACCAGCTGGATGCAACAGGCTTCGTACACCCCCCCGTTCCCCATCCTACCCTCTCGTCCAGCCTGATGAGAAGGCTGTACCTTAGAGGGCCCTGGAAACGACAGTTGTTTTTGTTTTGTGTTGTTTTCCTACGGGCTCCAGATTGCAATTGTTGCTGATGGTTCCAGCGCCGTTGATTGCAATATGTTCTCACGTTTCTGGGAGCAGCATTGAGTAACTATTGTTTAACCGATCCCCATCCCCAGCGCCGTGACCTGGGCCTCACTGGCCGATTTACCCCCCTAGATGTGGATATAGGCCGTTCCCTTCGGGTTTCGAGGGGTGTATCCCCAACTGGGGGGGTAATTTGGCGGGGGTCTCGAAGGGGATGGGGATGGGGATGGGTATGGGGATTGGTTAAACGAGACCGAAACGTGTTGTTTTACTGTGTTCATGTTCCAGAGTCACTGTTTTTGAGAACGGCAAGCGAAACTGTGTTGCCGCTTCCCGGACTCACAAAGAGCTGCTCCAGCCGCTCCTGGTGAACCCACGGGGGCCCCATGAGGCTGCACGGCCGTTCCAGCCTTATACCCCGAAGCGGCCAGCGTGGCCGCGAACGGACCGAAGCCTAGACGGTCCAGGAAGGCTCCAGACAGCTACAAGATGGCCCAAGTGCGGAACAAGACGTCCCCCTCTAAGGCGCGTGAGAGCCGTCCCAGACAGCCGCAGACGCCCAAAGAGGATCCCAGTAGGACCCCCAGGCAGCAAACGTTGCAGGACAGCGAATTGGTTTCCACAACTGGCCTGATGTATGCGGCTCCTGCGCACTTCGGCTCCAGATCGTCCCAGAATAGCGTCGGATAGCCCGGATAAAACCCGAGGTGCCAGAGGGGGTCCAAGATGACCCTGTAAGAAGCAGGACGGCTCAAAGAAGGACAACTCAAGAGTCCCAAGACGGCCCCGAGAAGCTTCCGAGAAAACCCAAGGTCCCCCCCTACGACAGCCCAATAGAGACACACAACGAACCATAAGTGCATCAAATAAAGAATGGAACCAAAGGTTCCCGAGAGACCGCCAAGAGTGTCCACGGAGGGCCCACCGACGGACCAAGAGAGACATTGCCGACGAATACACGTACACACCGATAGCAGCCATCAAGGTTCTGAGAGCCGACAAGATGTCGCCTAAGAGACCCCGAAGAGGGTACGCTGTTCGCCCAGTGTCGCGGGCGTATTTCGCATGACTGCTCCAAATATGAAGCTGTGCCCGCCGGCCAGTGGCACCACGAAACTAGCCGATGTGGCATGCAATCATGGTGCAAGAGGGTGACAGGCTTGTCGCAGGGACGTTCGGGTTTCACACAGGAGTCCGCAGCATGTGCCGACCATCTTGGCAATGCTACTGGGGGGAGCAAGTGAACTGGTGTGCTCTGGGTGCGCCCTGAGGATTCAATGAGCTTGAAGCGGTGGCCTTCGTTTTCGATTACCACGCGACGTACCCAACCCTTTCTATACATGTGGTGATTACACTCAGGACCACTCAATGCTGACGGGCATGCTGAAAAACCCACAGTGCGGAAGAAGAGCACCCAGCAGTGAAAACAGAAGAGCGCAGCAAGAAGAGCAGCGGCACCGCGTAAGACGTACCTCTGCTGGGCCTCCCGAGAGCCCACGAAAGTGGCGACAGTTGCGCAGATCGCAGCCCCCCAGGGCGCCGCGAGGTCTCGAGGTGGTCCGCGTGGGACGTACTTCCGCTGGGCCTCCCAGGAGCCCACGAAAGTGGCGACAGTTGCGCAGGTCGCAGCCCCCAAGGCGCCGCGAGGTCTCGAGGTGGTCCGCGTGGGACGTACTTCCGCTGGGTCTCCCAGGAGCCCACGAAAGTGGCGATAGTTGCTCAGATCGCAGCCCCCCAGGGCGCCGCGAGGTCTCGAGGTGGTCCGCGTGGGACGTACCTCCGCTGGGCCTCCCAGGAGCCCACGAAAGTGGCGACAAGTTCGCAGATCGCAGCCCCCCAGGGCGCCGCGAGGTCTCGAGGTGGTCCGCGTGGGACGAACCTCAGCTGGGCCTCCCAGGAGCCCACGAAAGTGGCGACAGTTGCGCAGGTCGCAGCCCCCCGGGGCGCCGCGAGTTCTCGAGATGGTCCGCGTGGGACGTACCTCCGCTGGGTCTCCCAGGAGCCCACGAAAGTGGCGACAGTTGCGCAGGTCGCAGCCCCCCAGGGCGCCGCGAGGTCTCGAGGTGGTCCGCGTGGGACGTGCCTCCGCTGGGCAGCCCACGAAAGTGGCGACAATTGCGCAGATCGCAGCCCCCCAAGGCGCCGCGAGGTCTCGAGGTGGTCCGCGTGGGACGTACTTCCGCTGGGCCTCCCAGGAGCCCACGAAAGTGGCGACAGTTGCGCAGATCGCAGCCCCCCAGGGCGCCGCGAGGTCTCGAGGTGGTCCGCGTGGGACGTACCTCCGCTGGGCCTCCCAGGAGCCCACGAAAGTGGCGACAATTGCGCAGATCGCAGCCCCCCAGGGCGCCGCGAGGTCTCGAGGTGGTCCGCGTGGGACGTACCTCCGCTGGGCCTCCCAGGAGCCCACGAAAGTGGCGACAGTTGCGCAGATCGCAGCCCCCCAGGGCACCGCGAGGTCTCGAGGTGATCCGCGTGGGACGTACCCCCGCTGGGCCTCCCAGGAGCCCACGAAAGTGGTGACAATTGCGCAGATCGCCCCCTCCCCCCCCATGGTGCCGCAAGGTCTCGAGGTGGTCCGCGTGGGACGTACCTCCGCTGGGCCCCCCAGGAGCCCACGAAAGTGGCGACAATTGCGCAAATCGCAACCCCCAGGGCGCCGCGAGGTCTCGAGGTGATCCGCGTTGAACGTACCTCCGCTGGGCCTCCCAGGAGCCCACGAAAGTGGCGACAGTTGCGCAGATCGCAGCCCCCAGGGCACCTCCGCTGGGCCTCCCAGGAGCCCACGAAAGTGGCGACAGTTGCGCAGATACGCGCAGATCGCAGCCCCCAGGGCGCCGCGAGGTCTCGAGGTGATCCGCGTTGGACGAACCTCCGTTGGGCCTCCCAGGAGCCCACGAAAATGGCAACAGTTGCGCAGGTCGCAGCCCCCAGGGCGCCGCGAGGTCTCGAGGCGATCCGCGTTGGACGTACCTCCGCTGGGCCTCCCAGGAGCCCACGAAAGTGGCGACAAGTTCGCAGATCGCAGCCCCCAGGGCACCGCGAGGTCTCGAGGTGATCCGCGTCGGACGTACCTCCGCTGGGCCTCTCAGGAGCCCACGAAAGTGGCGACAGTTGCGCAGATCGCAGCCCCCAGGGCACGGCGAGGTCTCGAGGTGATCCGCGTTGGACGTACCTCCGCTGGGCCTCCCAGGAGCCCACGAAAGTGGCGACAGTTGAGCAGATCGCAGCCCCCAGGGCACCGCGAGGTCTCGAGGTGATCCGCGTTGGACGTACCTAAGCTGAGCCTCCCAGGAGCCCACGAAAGTGGCGACAGTTGCGCAGATCGCAGCCCCCAGGGCACCGCGAGGTCTCGAGGTGATCCGCGTCGGACGTACCTCCGCTGGGCCTCCCAGGAGCCCACGAAAGTGGCGACAGTTGCGCAGATCGCAGCCCCCAGGGCACCGCGAGGTCTCGAGGTGATCCGCGTGGGACCCACCTCCGCTGGGCCTCCCAGGAGCCCACGAAAGTGGCGACAGTTGCGCAGATCGCAGCCCCCAGGGCACCGCGAGGTCTCGAGGTGGTCCGCGTGGGACGTACCTCAGCTGGGCCTCCCAGGAGCCCACGAGAATGGCGACTAATTCGCAGATCGCAGCCCCCAGGGCACCGCGAGGTCTCGAGGTGATCCGCGTGGGACGTACCTCCGCTGGACCTCCCAGGAGCCCACGAAAGTGGCGACAGTTGCGCAGGTCGCAGCCCCCAGGGCACCGCGAGGTCTCGAGGTGATCCGCGTGGGACGTACCTCCGCTGGGCATCCCAGGAGCCCACGAAAGTGGCGACAGTTGCACAGATCGCAGCCCCCAGGGCGCCGCGAGGTCTCGAGGTGATCCGCGTTGGACGTACCTCCGCTGGGCCTCCCAGGAGCCCACGAAAATGGCGACAGTTGCGCAGATCGCAGCCCGACGGCACGAGAGAAGAGGAGAGGGGAACACAGGAAATAGGAGAGGAGGAGGGGAGGAGAGGGGAGGAGGAGAAGGACGGGGCGCCCACACTGCTATTCAAAACGAGTACCCAACCATAGGAGGGTTGGGAAAAATGACACTCGAAACCAGGACCATACAGAACAGGGGGCGCGGATTGCAAAAGACGTCTCGGTGAGGTCGAGCCCAAACCCACTGGGCACGCTTGGAATTATGGTGTCAACGATGGCAACGATAACTGTGACGATGTTCTGGTACTGGATAAAGCCGTGACCATGACGGAAGACGGTGGTATGGCAATGTTGACTGCTATCGCCACAAACGCCCGCATCCGCTTCGATCTGGCGCGGTGTAGGTTCCACTCGTGTATCCAACAATTGACGCGCAAGTTGAAAAGCAACCTGATCGCGCCCATTCTTGCTTGACCCGCTCTGCAAGAGAAATTTGACGACATCGTGCTGCTTCTGCAACGCTGCATAATGTAACGGTGTGCGGCCACCGTCTCCGCCCTTCGCCTCCACGTCTGCAGAGCTTGCAACGAGAAACCGAACCAGATCAACATGGCCGTTCGCGGCAGCCTTGTGGATCGGTACCTCGTTCGATGTATCAGATGCATCGATATTCGCACCGAAATGAAGTAAAGCACGGGCCCGCTTTAATTCGCCATTCCCGGCGGCGTCCCGGAGCTTCCTGCTAAGCACCGCGCCTGTCGGGAGACATCCACCGCTCGCCAACAGCAATTTCGCCGTCTGCAGCTGCCCCCTGTCAACTGCTACGACCAACGGTGTGCGGTTGCAGTTCAGGCTCTTCACATCTAAACATGCATCCCACTCCAGGAGCAGTTTCACTACCTCCACTTGGCCTGCAGCAGCTGCCTTCCACAGGGGAGTCTCACAGAAGGAATCGCGCACGTCAACCTTCAAGCCCATACCCAGGAAAGCGAGCACGGTCTCAACATCCCCTTGCTCACATACCCTCATCAATCTCAATGAAACTGCCTCTAAGTCGGCCTGCGACACCCCTTTCCCAATAAGCAAACGCCCAATCTCAAGATGGTCATTATCCACCGCAATGGCCAAGGGCGTGCGCCCCTTCTTGTCCACTGCAGACGTGTCCGCCTTGCACATGAGGAGTGCATTTGTCAGTGCGATATCGTTCGCCCCCGCCGCATTGATCAACTGCTTTCCTAACTCTCTCCTGTCACTTCTGTGTAAGGCCGCACCCTTGTCCAAGAGGAATTGCGCAATGCCCATCTGCCGCTTCCTGACCGCGCGGGACAGCGGAGAGGATCCATCCTTAGCTTTGGCGTCCTTCTTCGCACCCCTACTCAAGAGGAAGGCCGTAACCTCAAGATTGCCATGTTGAGCCGCGATGTGAAGTGAGGTATCGCCATCGCGGCTCTTTGCCTCGAGACTGGCTTGGCATTGGAGCAATGCTTTCATCGTCTCCACGTCCCCCAACTGGGCCGCCTCCCGCAGAAACTTGTTCCGAGGGTGCTGCCCTGCACAACTCTCGACCAGCAGCCTGACGATGTCCTGATGCCCCTGCTCGGCGGCACAAAAGAAGGCCGTCCTGCCGTGGGCGTCCCGCACATCAATGCGCGCGCGGCGCCCCACGAGCACTGCCACGACGTCCACATGGCCGCGGGCGGCCGCGACGAGCAGAGGGTTCTGGCCGAAGCGGGCCGAGGACCCGAGCTGGGCGCCTCGCGCAAGCAAGGCCTCGACTCGCTCGCCGTCGCCCCGTTCAGCGGCTTGGAGGAGTTCCTGCCCCTGCAGCGTCGACGAAGCGGGGGAGCTCGACACGGCGACCACCTGATCGTCTTCGTCATCGCTGGCCTCTTCAGTCTCTCTGCAAGAGCAGCTGGAACCAAAGCCGGATGCGCCCATCCCTTGAGAAACGCCATGGGCGGGCCTCCGACGATGCGAGTTCAAGCTGCTGATTTTGACTTATGATGCCAGCGCGTCGACCCCAAACAGTGTCGCCTTGCGCTCACGCTTCGAAAGCTATCTCGAGGTGCAAACAAAAAGGAACCAATCATAAAATAGTGTACAAGAGACACCATAATCGATTCAAGAAGTCGGGTCGACGACCCACATGAATCAGATCGGCGGAAATCGGCAGCCAGGATGGGGGAAAACGCATCGGCGGAAATCGGCAGGCTGGTAAGGCCTCCACTGAGAAACCGAAATCCAGAATCAGAAAAAGAACTCGAGTCGAATGGGAATCGGAGTCGATCGAAGTCTACTCGAATCGAGTCGGAGGAGTTGAACTGAGCGCTGGCATAGGCCACAAGGCCAGAGGGCCCCGTGGCGGCAACCAGGGAGTCGCAGCAGCGGCCGCGGACACATGGCACCAGTGCAGGGGCCCAAAGACACACAAATGATTTTGCTTCGAGCGACCCCCACCGAAACCTTAAGCGTTGTTTCCCGATGACACGCGGTCGCCTACTTGGTCGACAACTGCCGCTTCTGGATTAAAAAATGATGGCCGGAGTGCAGTATCCCCAAGCAGGGTTTTTAGACCCACTGCGGTTTCCAAAGTCGATTGCGTGCCCGTCCAGTGCGGGCTGGCATGGCATGTTAAAACATGCCTCATCCTCCTCCTCCTTCTCCTCCTCCTCCTCCTCCACCTCCTCTTCATCCCGAACGGCATCTCGGAGCCCAGAGTTGCGAGGATGCCTCCAGCGTAACGGGCTGGACCACCTCGCGCGCGGCATCTCGGACACCAGAGTTGCGACGATGTCTCGGGCGAAACGTGCTGCGAGGAAGTCTCAGGCGAAACGGGCCGGACCACCTCGAGCGCGGCGTCTCAGAGCTCCGAGTTGCGGGGGCCTCCTGGGGCCTCCTGGGATCTCCTGGTGACCTCCTGGGGCTTCCTCCTGGGCCTCCTGTGGCCTCCTGGACCCCACCTGGGGCTTCCTGAAGCCTCTTGGGGCTCCCAGGGGGGGATATCTAACATGTGGCCGTCGGGGCTTTTGGGGGGGGGCCACAAGAGCAGGAAAAATCAACGAATCGCCACCGGATGTGTATTAACTTGACACGTTCTGATAGGGGGCCTCCTGGAGCCTCCTGGGAGCCTCCTGGGAATCTCCTGCGGACTCCCGGGGCCTGTCCTGGGCGTCCTGCGGCCTCCTGAAGCTCTCTGGGGCCGCCTGGGGCTCCCAGGGTCCCAGGGGGGATATGTAACATGTGGTCTTCTGGGCCCCCAGGCTGGACCACCTCTTGCGCGGCATCTGGGAGCTCAGAGTTGCGAGAATGTCTTATGCGAAACGGGCCGGACCAATTTGCGCACGGCATCTCAAAGCTCAGAGTTGCGAGGATCTCTCAGGCGAGATGGGCCGGACCACCTCGCGCAGGGCATCTCGGAGCCCAGAGTTGCGAGGATGCCTCCAGCGTAACGGGCTGGACCACCTCGCGCGCGGCATCTCGGACACCAGAGTTGCGACGATGTCTCGGGCGAAACGTGCTGCGAGGAAGTCTCAGGCGAAACGGGCCAGACCACCTCGAGCGCGGCGTCTCAGAGCTCTGAGTTGCGGGGGCCTCCTGGAGCCTCCTGGGACCTCCTGGTGACCTCCTGGGGCTTCCTCCTGGGCCTCCTGTGGCCTCCTGGACCCCACCTGGGGCTTCCTGAAGCCTCTTGGGGCTCCAGGGGGGGGATATCTAGCATGTGGCCGTCGGGGCCCCCCAAAATGGGAGAGGGGGCCACAAGAGCAGGAAAAATCAACGAATCGCCACCGGATGTGTATTAACTTGACACGTTCTGATAGGGGGCCTCCTGGAGCCTCCTGGGAGCCTCCTGGGAATCTCCTGCGGACCCCTGGGGCCTGTCCTGGGCGTCCTGCGGCCTCCTGAAGCTCTCTGGGGCCTCCTGGGGCTCCCAGGGTCCCAGGGAGGATATGTAACATGTGGTCTTCTGGGCCCCCAGGCTGGACCACCTCTTGCGCGGCATCTGAGAGCTCAGAGTTGCGAGAATGTCTTGTGCGAAACGGGCCGGACCAACTTGCGCACGGCATCTCAGAGCTCAGAGTTGCGAGGATGTCTCAGGCGAGACGGGCCGGACCACCTCGCGCAGGGCATCTCAGAGCTCAGAAGTTCGAGGATGTCTCAGGCGAAACGGGCCGGACCACCTCTCGCGCGGCATCTCCGAGGTCAGAGTTTCGAGGATGTCTCAGGCGAAACGGGCCGGACCACCTCGCGCAAGGCATCTCAGAGCTCAGAATTTCGAGGATGTCTCAGGCGAAACGGCCCGGACCACCTCTCGCACGGCACATCGGGGCTCAGAGTTTCGAGGATGTCTGAAGCGAGACCACCTCTCGCGCGGCGTCCCGGAGCGCAACTTTTCGAGGATGTCTCAGGCGAAACGGCCAATCCCGGCCAACTCAGAAACGCGAGTTGTGAGGATGTCTCAAGCGAAACGGCCTGGACCATCAAATGGTTGTGAGGATGTCTCTGCTCCGGCTTCCCTCGGCCGGAGTTAGCTTCTATCACAAAAGCGGCCCGTTCAGCAAGCTGTTTGGGGAACAAATGAATCATGTTTCATGTAGTCACGAAGTTTAATGTTGTGCTCTATTATGTCCTGTTATGATCTCTACGGGCCCGCGTGACGTCGTGGCGCCTGTGACGTTAAATGCGTGGTCTGGTATGGTGTTTCTCTTCACTTTTGTTTCTCGTATGATTGAGTATGCTATGTTGTACTAAGATCTGTCACCTTATAATTTGAGATATGGTGGTATGATCTGATATGTGACACTATGTTATGACATGATACTGTAAAGAACAAGCTGTTCGTTATACTAAGATTTGCTCCGCGATGCTGTTGCCAGCTCGGCTCAGTGTAATATAACATGACACACTCCGCTAGCATATTTCGCTATGCGTTACTGTCGTGTTGGTTATGTGATGCTGTCATGATGTGTTATGATATGTTATGTCCGTGTGTTTTATGATATGTTGGGCTCTATTGTGTGTTATGGTGTGTTATGTCGTCTCCTGTTCTGTCAGATTCCGCTCTGGTATGTTGCGTGATTGTATCTTTGTTGACGGCTCGGTTCCGTGTGCATTATTGTGATATGATATGCTCGTATGCTGTAGTGGTATGGTATGTTCCGTGATGTTGTGTCAACATATTTTACGTCATGCCAAGATGTGTTGGGCTATCTTCGGCTATGTGTTGCTAGGTTGTAGCGTGTAGTCGTTGTGTTATGTCATGCTTTGGTTTGGTGCACTAAGTGATGCTATGCTATGCCCTATTTAGTCATGACATTGCTGTGTTCGCTTCTGCCATGTTCTGTCATGCTCGTGTTCTGCTCGGTCATGCTCTGCTGTGTCATGGTATGTTCTGTCTTGTTCGATATGGCTATGCTCTGCTGTCGTGGTAATTATGGTATGTCCTGTGATGCTGTGCCATGATATGATACGTTCTGGCAAAGTGTGTAATGTGATGCTCGGCTATGTTATTTATGATGGTTTATGCTGTAGCTGAAATGGTATGTTATGTGATGTTATGTTTGTTGACGGCCCGGTTCTGTATAGTGTATTAGGATACGTTATGCTAGTAACTAGTGTCGCTACGCTCTGCTGCGTAATATGATGTTTTCTGTGATGTTGTGTCATGATCGGAACTGGATGGGTGTGAACGGAAGTGACCCCAAGCGGGAAATCGGTTTCGGTTTCAGTTCGAGTCGCGCGCGCGGGCAAGGCCAAGCTGCACGAGTTCCTGCCATTCCCTCCCAAAAAAAAACGCCCTCCCCCCCTTTGGCCTGCCGGGCTCCGACGATGGTTGTCCCGATGGTTGTCCCGGCGGTTCTCCCGGCAATCGTCTCGATGGTTGTCCCGATGGTTGCCCCGAGGGTTCTTCCGATGGCTGTCGTGATGGTTGTCCCGACGATTGTCCCGATGGTTGTCCCGATGATTGTTCCGATGATTGCCCCAGTGGTTCTCCCTCGTCGAAAAACAATTCTGAAAATACTCTGGCCAAAAACACGTTCGGAATCTCGGCCCCTGGGCAGGAGAGCACAAAACAAACGAAGTTGAAAAAGAAAATTCTCAAACTCCGGATGAAGCATGCCGGAAGCAACGACGGTGCAGTGCATTGAGGCCGCAAACGGTGACCCAGGAACCGCTCATGATCCGTAAAGCGGAGGATGCATTTCGAACAAGCCTGAAATCTCTCCAAATTCCTGCTTGAAACCAGAAACACCGTCAACACATCTGCAGGAACAAATTCTGAGTAAGAGACCTTCGTTGGCCGTTTCGTTTTCCTTGTCTTTTCTGCTTTCCAGCAGGCCTCAGCTAAATATTATTTGTTATAATTTGTTCTTTACATCCCCGCGAAACAAAGACCTCACCATTCCTTTCGAATCAATCCAAAAGGCGGCAATAGCAGAGGCCCACGTGCGCCCCGGGTCAGAAGCCTGGAAAGAGGCAGCCAGAAACCAGATTTCAAAAAAATACTGATCATCATTTTCCGGATTGTTTCAAACAGCACGCGGCCGGAAAATCCCGGCAGCAAAGTAAGCTAAACGCTGAGAAAACCATAGGACGGAAGGACAAGAGGGGCAAGGGAGGGGGGGAACGGAGGAAGGGCGAAAAGGAGAAAGACGGCAGCAGCAAACGACGACTTGTTTTTTTCTACGCAGCCTCACGGGGATGAACCAAGCCACACGCGGGTCACACCAGCGTCAACGTGCACTAAAAATTGAAGAATAAAATAAGCAAGAGACGGAGAGAGAAAGCGGAACGAGGAAGAAAAGAGGAGGACAAGAGAAAGACGAACAGAGAACAAGAAGAAGAAGGAAAAAAAGAAGAAGAACAGAAAGAGGACGAAAGAAGAAAACGAGAAGGAGGGAGGGAGGGAAGTGGGCGCGGCAAGCAGGCAAGCAAGCAGGGGGGGAGCGAAGAAGAA